CCCCAAAAAAAAAAAACTACGAGAGTGAGTAAATTCCGCATGAAAACTGTCTCTAAAATTAGATGGTTGTCTCTGTATGCTTCCTGTCTGGTAGTTCTAGAACATACATTAGTTTTAAGTCAAAATCACACGTGTAAAATTGAGCCCTCGAACAAGTTATTCAGTGATGTGCTTCTATGAGCTTCTGCTCTTGAGGCACACAAAAGTATATATGAGTCTAAGTAAGAAAAATGAAAAAAAAAAAATTTTTTTTTTTCACAGCAAGTTTAAACTTATTTCTTTCTTTTCATCCAGGTTAAGAAAGGAACCACTATGATTAAGCTATCATCTGGCACCGCAGTCTGTCTTTCAATCTGTGTCATATTTCTCCTCATTCTTAGCCCTGAAGCAGAATGCGACTTGGTAAGATGTCGCTTGAGGCACTTCAAACGCGTCTTCCAACCACCACCCAACACCCTTTGCCAACCAGTCAAAAAGAAGCTCGGCAAATGTGTAGGATCTTGTGTGTCTTCCACTTTCCCGATCCTTGGGGTCTCAGAGTTCAAGAAGATCTGTTATTGTTGCCAAGAGAAAAGTGTTCGGCCTGTGACTATTAAATTCAAAGCCTGTAAGGAAACGTTAACTGTGTCAATGATAGAAGCCTGTGAATGCAAGCCTTGTAGCCGATCTTAAACGTCTAGAACTAACAGTCAATAGAACTGCTGAAAGAGTCTTCAATATATAGCAATAGTCATTCTCAGAAGCTCAGAGGAGGATTGATAACGATCTCGTGATGCATTGCATTGTGGGAACGGTTGGGAGACAAGTTTCAAAAGTTCCAAAGACCAGTCCCACAATTTGATGAAGCACGAGGAAATTATCAGTTGAACCTCGCATATAATTTACACTTATAAATGTAAGTTGCATACGAAAAAGATGTCATATATATGGAACGTAACTGATGTTTGTCAAGTCTATGCAGGTTGTTCGTGTCAAATCACCAATGAATGTTCAAATGTTGTAAGTATTTAGACCACTGATGTTGTACTGCACCTCTGTCTTAACGTTACATCCATCCCTCATCCCATCATCGATCCTCTATATCGTTGCTAGCTGTGCATCACATATGAATGTATATAAAAATATGTCGCCGCGATATGTATGTATATAGTGGGCATTAAAACTGATAGAATTATATTGTGTCTATTTGATTCTACTAAGTGCCTTGTACGATGATGGCTGGCCCTTTTACCAAGTTTTCAAGATTCCGTATTTTCTAATGGAAGGTTGCCTTCTTTTCAGCACATCAGCGCAGTCAGTGTACACAGTAACAGTATAACGGAAAAACAAACCACGGCACAGGAACCTTGTTTGGGCTGCCTGTGCTCGATCGAATCCTTTATCATTTAAATCCAGTGATTAATACACTAGGCTGGTGCGCATGCATCAAATCCGCGCGTGGAAAGGAGCTTTACAACATGGAAACTTTTTTCACGTCACAAAAAAATCGATCATGATTTACATTTTTCCTTTCACCAATTTTTATAATGACACGACTCAGACAACCAGCTATAATTAATTAAGACACCTGCATAGTTGTAGTGGGGCTTCCGTCAATGAAATTTCATACTGTCTGAGTTTTTATTCGGACAGAGGCCAAAACCCCAGACTTCTCGTGCTACTAAGCATTGCTTGCATTATGGGCAATAAGTCTTTTACTTATCGCACAATTTTTTTCACTTCAAAACAAGTGTCATCCATAACTGTTACATATTAGGCATGAATGATGTATAAGAATGGCTCTTTGCAAAAGTAAATGATGGAGAATATTGTCTAGTCCAAATAACCCTGGATTAAAGCTCACTCAAAAACTAAAGATGCATAAAGACAGTTGTTGTGTTTTTTCTCAACTTAATACTACACTATTGTACCTTCTATAAGTAAGAGTAACTCCAAAACAAATCTATGGCATCTGATTGGCTTAGAGCCTAAAGGACTTCAGCAGAAGCTTACGTGGTCTTTATGTACAATTGTGACCACAATGTAAGATTTACGGAGCCAATGTCCATGGCTTATCTATCCATTAAGGCTACATTCATGTCTGGGATAATTACTTGGGCAACAAGCCCATTAAATCCTAGAATCTTTGTTGTAAAAGTTCTTTGCATGTTTAGTTCATGAAACTCGATAAATTTCAAAATAAGATTTTTATGATGATTTATACTCATAACAAATCGCCGTTCTGTTACATGGTGTTAGTGAGACTCTAGTTCAAATTCAAATACCATGACAAGGAGTTTTGGTGGACGTCAATCACGATTTCATCTTCTTCGCCTTAAAACTTTCCACTCAGAAAAACTGTACTCCGTTTTCATACGCTTTCTTGCAGCAGAAAGACCTCTTCAAAGGCATTACCCGTATAATATTATGTACATCCTTCTACTTTCATCCTTTCTTCTTCTACTTAAAAACTGTACATTTGTAGAAGAAACCATTCATTCCTACCCTTTGCACCAAACGCTAATCGCGAGTATACAACACTACAGCATAACGTGATCAATATGTTATACGAGCCGTAATGAACACGCTTTCCAACTGCACGTTGTTACGTTCATCCATTCTACATACTTCAAGGTCCTTTTTTTTTTTCAAAGAAAACTTTATACCATTGGAAACTCCGTCTTCAAAATCACTACCAAAACTACGTAAATAAATCCATTCTTCTTCAACTTAAAAACTGTACATTTAATTTGTAGAAGAAACCATTATTGAAATCATTATGAACGTCATTACGCACGTTCTACATTTGTCCATTCTTTTTCGGAAAAAATTTTTTTGTAAAGAAARACCACCTTCAAAATCACTGCTAAAATTACGTAAATGAATCCATTCTTCTCCTGTATGCTGGTTTAGCTTTTTCTGCTTCATTCAGCCAAGCTAGTATTCTTCTCCGTGTATCGCCTTGTGTTGGGTCTTTATAGTCCTCTGGCATCATACAATTCGAGTCGATTTTCAACTCCTGTTTTGAGTATTTTGGAGTTGCCGGTGGGAGCTTAACAATATTCGATGATGTTGATTCCTTTTGTTGATGGTTTTTGGAATCTCTAGGAGTCTTACCAACAATTGCTGCCACGGCCTTTTTAGGCAAAGTAGTTTTCTGTCTGATTTTATTATCTTTGTTATTATTTTCCATTTTTGGTGAAAATATCATCAATTCACAAATAGCCGGTAAAGAAGACGATCCTGGGATTTCTGTCGCGTCTGGGAACACTTCAATCTCTTTCCTCGGAATGTTATCGTCTTCAGGCAAAACAAATCGAACTCGTAGCTTTCGTTTTGCAGTGCCTGTATTCCTTGGACTATTTTGGACGTTTCTTGGCGTGAAAAGACCGTTTTCTCGTGTTCTTATAGGTCGTACCCTTCGTTCCGAGACAGACGTAAAGTCAGGTTGTCTCAGGAGCGGGTAAATGCGGGTTCCCATTGATATACATTCGATTCCGTCCGTCGTACTAGTATTATTTCCTTACGAAGCGTGTTTGACCTGAACAGTACACAAAACATTGGTTTCTAAGACTATTATCGCTTCTGAAGTGTGTTATTTTATAAAGACTTAGAACAATAGGCTAGGACTCATGACCTAATATTCCCCAAGGATTTAGTCCTTTGCAAACGACATCTTGGTTTTAAGGTGTATTTGCTGCTTGGATACTCGTTAAAGATTTGATTTTTGTTTCTTCAAGCACTGATATTTGTCGGGGGGGAATTCCAAGCTCCAGGCGGGAGCTAGGGATTTCTTTCTGAGCAAAAATATCAGTGCTTGAAGAAACAAAAATCAAATCTTTGATATCTTATCGTCTACTTTGTTCTTCGTTTCTTCAGTTTTCTTTGGAAAAAAGKCATTTTTACACGCTATACGAACAATATTAGCTCTTCAATAAATGTGGGTCTCGAGAGTCTCGAAGTATTTGGTGATCGACTGTTGAGATGCAGTTTACAAATCTATGAGGATAGATAACTACGCATGCTCAAAGAGTGTGGTAGCAATTTCCAAATCACGATCGATCGTGGTCAACGCGAGAGCTACCAAAAATACCAAGAAAAAGCCAAAGTTAACGTGCAAAATTGAAATTTAAAAAAATGGGAACTTAAACCTGAAATTAAGTTCAGGTGAAAGTCCCATCTTCTCTCTGCAAAAAAGATACTCTTTTGTCAATTAAAGCCGGGTTTTTTTTTTGACATAAACATAGTATGTCTTTATATGTATATTTTTTTCACGAAACTCTCCGATGCCTCCTTTGAGATTTTCGATTCCAGGCATAAACATTTAATGAGCTTTCACCTTATATGGTTGTGTTACACTTGCATACGGAGTACCAGCAACAAAAACCTGTCATATCCAATGAGAATTCGACTACTCGTTGCTCTCTCTCATCAGATTTAAAAATTTTTACTTTACGACAAATCTCAAGTTATTCCACTGACACTAGTCAATTTTAAGAGATATTTTATATCGGAAATTTTAAAGACCTTTTTTGTTGGTTTTTAATTGGTTATTTTATTATTATTTGTATTTATTTTATGGTCAAGGGATAAGAGAAAGACATCGTGGTTACGAGAACAGCAGGTAAGAATCTTTTCATTGCTTCGACGTTTATTTTCTTTATATCAGTTGTCTCATATTAAAGATTATTTGAAAAGTAAAATGATGTTTAAGTACTATGAAATTAAATTATTATTAGAGTAAGAACGAGGAAAGATCGATGGAAAAGGGATTGTGAAATTCTTCCATCCATGACCGAGTGCTGGCTCAAAAGTTAAAATGAACACATTTAGTCAATTGGTAAAGAAGCAAAAATCAATTATTTGATTTGATTTTATTCTCTTGACGAGAAAGAAGGAAACTTTCGATTTTTTTTTTTTTTTTTTTGTACGCCAAAAACTGATTTTTTGGTATCGCGATGACGAATGATCATGGTTGTGCTTTAATGATATTTGTTGAAATTATTCGCGTCAGCGATCACATTGTAAAACTCTGTTAATTTTGCAGTATATAGTATATAATATATCTAACATATCATTAGGTAAATCTTATCGGTTACTGTCCATTACATTTCCATGCTCTTTAGTTCGGATTAGTTCTTGAGACACGATAATTGATGAGATAAATCTAAAATAGCGTTACTAGATCTGCAGCTCAGCCCCGTTTGATTCGAAGCCATTGTTTCGAAACGAGTTTTATTAGATCTTTCTTTTCTTTTCTTTCCTCTTTTTTTTTTTTTTTTTTTTTTTTTTTTTTTTTTTTTTTTTTTTTTTTTTTTTTGAAACCCTAACAAACTTTCATTCTTAATTTGGACTCGGAAATAATTTTCCAAGCGGTAGATTTAAATAAAATTAAATTGGACGAGTTTATTTTTGACCTTTGCTGGTCTCGCTTTGACACGTGATCAACACAAGCCCCGCGTTACACCGGCGAATAGGCCCTTTGCAGTTAACAGTCACGTGTCTGTACTGGTGAGCAAAATTTTTGTTTTTATTTTAAATTGGTGATTCTATTTAGCTACTTGTAAAGAACTGAATGAAACGATGTGTAACCAGTGTGTTACGAAATGCAGTTTTATTACGACCTCTCGAAACAGGTTGTAGAAAGTTTGTTTGCTCACCAGTATATTTCACCCATGGGAATCAAGATGTTCATTCATTTGCTCTCAGTAAATTAATCAGCACGTGATTACTGAGCTGCAAAGGGCTTATTGCCCTTCTTAAAATTGTCTTGAATGCCGCGAGGCTAACATGGAAATACAAAAGAAATGCTACAAATTCTATCGAGAAAATGTGTCGGATTTCTTTTGTATTTTCATGTTACCCTTGCATCCAAGTTTTTTTTTTTTGAGAAGGGTTCATTGCACTAGGTGAATGTTTGAACGATTATGTCAAGAAGAAAAAAACGCAGATAAAATTGCTAAAAGGATCTTATAAAGATACTTATTATTTCATAAGATATATAATATTAGAATCATATGATATACAGCCAGAGTTCCTAAACTCGGTGTCCTGTAGAGCAACATGTTGGTTCTCGACCTCTTCCCTAGATTCCTTATTAATGTATTGGTAATGGATAATATGATATTTATTTGTTAATATTGAATGATACTGATATACTATACTTATGATGTCATTATCTGTTGCCTAGGTTACCACTATGTATAGTATTTTGATTGGCTGTTTTGTGACAGCTCTTCTAGCTAATGCACGTAAGTACAAATGTGTTTATCACTCTTAGCTTTCAAAAAATCAATCAGTCAATGAGTTTCTTTTTAAACCTTCTCGTGCGTCTTCATCAAGAGAATACACGAAGTACTTTATATACAGTTTGTGCAGCCATGTGACTCAAAATCCCTTGAGATATGAATAACAACGAAACAGACGCCATGTTGGTTGATCTAACAAGAGAAGCTAATGAGGAATGCTTTGTTATATAACGTCAACCAAGATAGTGGTTGTGACGTAACATGATCATGCTCTAGCTATATTATAAATTTCTCCTCTGTTTTGAGTCGAGTTTGTAGCAATTTGTAATTGCTTGTTCGTCTTGTGGAGAAGATAAAATCATTATTCATCATTATCATCCTTTTTCAGAGGATTATCAATATACAACTAATACAGGAAAATATCCTCAGCAAGAACAAGATATGCAGCAACCTGAAAATGAACATCCACACCATATCTTAGCTGATCCGAATATCGTTAACTCCTACACGAAGTCTTACAAAGGTAACTGAGATCACGATCATCTGTAATAATCCATCCATCGAATTATTTTTCTTTCCTTATGCATCTTTCCTTGCTTCCTTGCTTCCTTGCTTCCTTGCTTCCTTGCTTCCTTGCTTCCTTGCTTCCTTGAACCAGACTAAACAGCATTCCATAACTTCGGCTTGTTTTTTTCTAGAAACCTTCGGAGAGCTAAACCTTGGTCATAATTATTTCGAGGGCGATATCATTCTCACTCATCAACAGAGTGATTTCATCGCCAGAAGTCTTGCCGATGACAATACTTTACAAGCCAGAGCCCTCGTTAAGGATGTACGTAAACTATGGGACAACCGAGAAGTGCCCTATGTTATTGGTGACGGCCTAAGTGAGTAACCATTTAAGGTATATCGTAGCATACAATAGAAAAGGGATTGTCTTATTCGTTGCTTTTAGCCATTTCGAAGTCGTTTGAGGAAAAAACTGGGACGAGTAGGTATTGCAGTGCATCATGGGACTGTTTTAGGTAACATATTTCCAAGATGGCGTCTATTTCCAAGATGGCGTCTATTTTCAAAATGGCGTCCATGAGACCATATTGGTCATTAATAACAGCCGAATGGCTTTCCTTTGCCAACTGTCATGTAAGGAACAGATGAATTTGATAATGAAAAAAATGAAATTGAAAGATGTCTGCAGAATCGTACCATAATCAACTAGGCTAAGCATTGTGACTTGGCGTAACAGGAATATAATGGTACACAGCACTATAATTACCTATATTTACTGATTAACTTTCATAGGGGATGAATCGAAGGAGTTCGTCAAATCAGCTGTAAAAGAGTGGAAGGATAAGACCTGCATGAAGATAAGACCGAAAAAAGACTCCGACACTGACTTCATTGAGTTTGTCTACGATGGAGGGTAATCAACTTCATTTATCGTCTATTATCAAGGGGTTGGGCACGAGGCGACGCGACTCCATTCTCTATGTGACGCTATTTCTTTTTTAGCATTAATTCCTTTGATTGAAGACCATTTTTAGGGGTGAATACTCCCATTTCGAGTTCGCCTTTGCTCAGTCTTAGCCTCGATTATGTACAAATGAGTTCTTTTTTATTAAGGTCCATTGTAGAGTGTAAGTACTACGGAACAATACGAGTTGATTAAAATGCCACG